GGGATCCCTGGGAACACGGGGGGATCCCTGGGAATGGGGTCAGGGCTCCCCAGGCCCCCTCCCAGCGGGGCTGTGGAAGCGGTGCCGCCGATCCAGTCCTGCTTCTGGGGGGAAAACATGGAAAAAGGGGAATGTGGGGGCAGTGGGAGCAGGGAAGAGGGGGGTGTTCCCGGGGCAACGTCCCGGAAAAGTGGGAAAATGGGCAAAACGAAGGCAAAGAGGGCTGACGGTGTCCGGGCTCCCCTCCAGCCATGACCATGCAGTTCATCAGCCACCGCTTCCCCGAGGACCACGACCCCACCATCGGTGAGGAAACCCTGCCCTTGGCTCTCCTCCCACTCAGGGGGACAGGAGAGTTAGGGATTTACAGCAGAATATCGGTGTATTTATAGCAGAATATTGGTGTATTTATAGCAGAATATTGGTGTATTTATAGCAGAATATTGGTGTATTTATAGCAGAATATTGGTGTATTTATAGGCTGAATATTGGTGTATTTATAGCAGAATATTGGTGTATTTATAGCAGAATATTGGTGTATTTATAGCAGAATATTGGTGTATTTATAGCAGAATATTGGTGCATTTATAGCAGAATATTGGTGTATTTATAGGCTGAATATTGGTGTATTTATAGCAGAATATTGGTGCATTTATAGCAGAATATTTATAGATTTATAGCAGAATATTGGTGTATTTATAGCAGAATATTTATAGATTTATAGCTGAATATTTATAGATTTATAGGCAGAATATTTATGTATTATAGGCAGAATATTTATATATTTATAGGCAGAATATTTCTACATTTATAGGTAGAATATCTATATACTTATGGACAGAATATCCATATATTTATAGGCAGAATATCTGTATATTTATAGGCAGAATATCTATATATTTATAGGCAGAATATTTATACATTTATAGGTAGAATATCTATATACTTATGGACAGAATATCTATATACTTATAGGCAGAATATTTCTATATTTATAGGCAGAATATATGTATATTTATACAAGAATATTTATGTATTTATAGGTAGAATATTTATATATTTATAGGCAGAATATCTGTATATTTATAGACAGAATATATATTTGTAGCCAGAATATTTCTATATTTATAGGCAGAATATTTATATACTTATAGCAGAATATTTCTATATTTATAGCCAGAATATCTATATACTTATATACACAATATCTATATACTTATAGGCAGAATTTTTATATATATAGGCAAAATATCCATATATTTATAGCAAGAATATTTATGTATTTATAGGCAGAATAGATATTTGTAGCCAGAATATTAATATATATATATATAGGCAGAATATCTACATATTTATAGCAAGAATATTTATGTATTCATAGGCAGAATATTTATATATTTATAGGTAGAATATTTATATATTTATAGGCAGAATATCCATATATTTATAGGCAGAATATCCATATATTTATAGGCAGAATATCTGTATATTTATAGGCAGAATATCTGTATATTTATAGGCAGAATATCTGTATATTTATAGGCAGAATATTTCTATATTTATAGACAGAATATATATATTTATACAAGAATATTTATGTATTTATAGGTAGAATATTTCTATATTTATAGACAGAATATCCATATATTTATAGGCAGAATATTTATATATTTATAGGCAGAATATATATTTACAGACAGAATATATATTTATTTATAGGCTGGATATTTCTATATTTATAGGCAGAATATCTGTATATTTATAGGCAGAATATTTATGTATTTATAGACAGAATATCTTTATACTTATAGAAGAATATTTATATGTTTATAGCCAGAATATTTATACATTTATAGGTAGAATATCTATATACTTATGGACAGAATATCTATATACTTATAGGCAGAATATTTCTATATTTATAGGCAGAATATCTACATATTTATAGCAAGAATATTTATGCATTCATACGCAGAATATTTCTATATTTATAGACAGAATATCCATATATTTATAGGCAGAATAGGTATTTGTAGCCAGAATATTTCTATATTATAATGTCTCCTAAGAACCCAGCAGTTCCTCCCTCGGGCCACAGACCTTTCCTGGCCTGGAGAACACTAAAATGTGACAGCTGGAGAGATAAATGAATCGATAAATCAATAGCTCAATAGAAGTTCCTGCTCCGGGCTCCCCCCGGGCTGGATTTCGGGGGACTGGGACACGAAATCCCAGGATTTGAGCCCGGGGGTGTTAAATCCCGGCAGGAAGCGGCAGGTTCAACTCGGCCGGAGCCCGGCCGGGAGCAGGGGGGGGGTCTGGGGTGGGGTTGGTGCCCGTTCCCTGTGACACTGGGGTGGGTTTGGTGCCTGTTCCCTCTGGGACAGTGGGGTGGGGTTGGTGCCCGTTCCCTGTGACACTGGGGTGGGGTTGGTGCCCATTCCCTGGGACACTGGGGTGGGTCTGGTGCCCGTTCCCTGTGACACTGGGGTGGGTTTGGTGCCCATTCCCTGTGACACTGGGGTGGGGTTGGTGCCCGTTCCCTCTGGGACAGTGGGGTGGGTTTGGTACCCGTTCCCTGGGACAGTGGGGTGGGGTTGGTGCCCATTCCCTGTGACACTGGGGTGGGGTTGGTGCCCGTTCCCTGTGACACTGGGGTGGGTTTGGTGCCCATTCCCTGTGACAGTGGGGTGGGGTTGGTGCCCGTTCCCTCTGGGACACTGGGGTGGGTTTGGTGCCCGTTCCCTCTGGGACACTGGGGTGTGTTTGGTGCCCATTCCCTGTGACACTGGGGTGGGGTTGGTGTGGGTTTGGTGCCCGTTCCCTGGGACACTGGGGTGGGGTTGGTGCCCGTTCCCTCTGGGACACTGGGGTGTGTTTGGTGCCCGTTCCCTCTGGGAGCTGACGATTATCCCCAAATCATTCCCGGTTTCCCCGGGAACGCCCAGAGGACGCCTATAAGATCCGGATCCGCATCGACGACGAGCCCGCCAACCTGGACATCCTGGACACGGCAGGGCAGGTGCGGGGGGCCCGGGGGGGCTGCAGGGAGAGGGGTAGGGGGAGGGACACAGATCCCTTTTTGAGCCCAAAAATGGGGGTTTTGGAGCTCTGGTCCTCCCCCAGGCCTGGCTTTGTGCCCGCGAGGGGCCCGTGGGACTCCCGGTGCATCCCAGGCCAGGGGGGTTTCTGTCCCCAAATGCATGTGGGGTGGGATTGGCCCCGGCCCTTCCCGGGGTGTCCCAGCCCTTCCCAGGATGTCCCGCCTTTCCCAGGGTGTCCCGGCCCTTCCTGAGGTGTCCTGATCCCTTCTGGAATGTCCCAGTCCCTCCTGGGGTGTCCCAGTCCCTTCCCAGGATGTCCCGCCTTTCCCAGTGTGTCCCAGTCCCTCCCGGGGTGTCCCAGTTCCTCCCAGTGTGTCCCAGTCCCTCCCGGGGTGTCCCAGTTCCTCCCAGTGTGTCCCAGTCCCTCCTGGGATGTCCCGGCCCTTCCCAGTGTGTCCCAGTCCCTCCTGGGGCTGACTTTGGCGGGATTCCCCGTTGGCAGGCGGAGTTCACGGCCATGAGGGACCAGTACATGCGGGCCGGGGAGGGGTTCATCATCTGCTACTCCATCACCGACCGGCGCAGCTTCCACGAGGTGCGCGAGTTCCGGCAGCTCATCTACCGCGTGCGCCGCACCGACGACACGCCCGCCGTGCTCGTGGGCAACAAATCCGACCTGGCCCAGCTGCGCCAGGTGAGGGGGCTCCGGGACACCCCCGGCCCGGGCTGCTCCCGGCGGGAAAGGGAGGGAAGAGGCGGGGGGTTTCATAGAAAGGCAGGATCAGCCGGGTTGGGAGGGACCTCCCAGACCATCCAGTCCAACCCTCGTCCAACCCCGCCGTGGTTCCCAGCCCGTGGCACTGAGGCCACATCCAGTCTGGGCTTGAACACCTCCAGGGATGGAGAATCCACCCCCTCCCTGGGCAGCCCATTCCAATGTCAGGTCACTCTCTCTGGAAAGAATTCCTTCCTCATGTCCAACCTAACCCTCCCCTGGCACAGCTGGAGACCCTCCTGTCCTGCTGCTGGTTCCTGGGAGCAGAGCCCGACCCCCCCTCCTGTCAGGGAGTTGTGCAGAGTGGGGAGGTCTCCCCTGAGCCTCCTCCTGTCCAGGCTGAGCCCCCCCAGCTCCCTCAGCCTCTCCTCACGGGAATTGTGCTCCAGCCCCTTCCCCAGCCTGGCTGCTCTTCCCTGGCCCTGCTCCAGCCCCTCCATGTCCTTCCTGAGCTGAGGGCCCAGAGCTGGACACGGCCCTCGAGGGGAGGCCTCCCAGGGGCACAATCCCTGCCCTGCTCCTGCTGCCCCCTGATCCCGAGCCAGGCCAGGATCCATCGGCCCTCTTGGCCCCCTGGGCACACTCTGGCTCCTGTTCAGCTTCCTGCCCATCCCAAATCCCAGCTCCCTTCCCACTCTGGCCCAGCCCGGGGGGCTGCCGGGGGTTGTTGTGCCCCTGGGCCTGGTTGAACCTCATCCCGTTGGAATCAGCCCCTGGATCCAGCCTGTCCAGGTCCCTCTGCAGAGCCCTCCTGCCTTCCAGCAGATCCACCCCCCAGCTTGGTGTCCCCTGCACGTTTGCTGATGGTTCACTCGATCCCCTCACCTGATCTGACTCTTCCTCTCAGGGGAGACCCCCCAGCAGAGCTTCCTCCAGCCCTGGGGTCCCGGGTTGGGAAGGACCTGGAGCTGTTGGAGCGACTCCAGAGGGCTGGAGCAGCTCTGCTGGCAGGAAAGGCTGGAGAGTTGGGATTGTTCAGCCTGGAGAGGAGGAGGCTCTGCAGTGACCTAATTGTGGCCTCCCAGGACCTGAAGGAGCAAGGAAGATGGAGAGAGGCTGATTCCAAGGGCCTGGAGAGCCAGGACGAGGGGGAATGGCTTCACACTGGCAGAATTAGACAGGTTCAGGTTGGATATGAGGAAGGAATTCCTCCCTGGGAGGGTGGGGAGGCCCTGGCACAGATTGCTCAGAGAAGCTGTGGCTGCCCCTGGATCCCTGGAAGTGTTCAAGGCCAGGTTGGAGCAACCTGGGACAGTGGAAGGTGTCCCTGCCCATGGAGGGGGTGGAATTAGTTGGTCTTTAAGGTCCCTTCCAAGCCAAACCATTCCAGGATTCCAAAGGAGATGCAATAATGGAGAACTTGGATAAGGATTGGAGAGGGAGGAGAATGACTCCCAGCTGGAGAAGGCAGTAACTGCCCTCAGGGAGAACAGTGTGGGAGCAAAGCTTCCCTCAGAGGAAACTTAATTGGGAAAGCAAGTTCCAGAGGTGCCAATTTATACCTGGAGTTGGATACATTTTCAGTGTGGGTGCCAGGGGATGGGAAGGACGGGGTGAGGAGCGGGCAGGGCTTCTGTGTGGCCTCAGCAGGGCTTGGTTGGCTGGTTGGTTGAGGGAAAAACCCTTTGGAGAGGTTTTGGTGGCTCTGGGAAGCAGTTTGACCAACACAGCGGCTTCGGGGCGGGAGGAGGGAGCACCTGGAGCTGCCCAAAGTGCCAGGGTAAGCTGGCACCTGGAGGTTCAGCTCCAGGAAAGGAAGAATATCCTTTGAGAGTGTTGTTCCATGAGTGTCCAGAGAGACTGAGGGGAAGCAGAGCAGGTTTGTGGGGGAAACCTTTGGAGAAGGGTGGGAAGGAGCTGCCCTGGAGCTGCCCAAACTGCCAGGGTAAGCTGGCACTTGTAGGTTCAGCTCCAGGAAAGGAATAATATCCTTCCAGAGAGTGTTGTTCCATGAGTGTCCACAGAATCTGAGGGGAAGCAGAGCCTGTTTGTGGAGAAACCTTTGGAGAAGGGTGGGAAGGAGCTGCCCTGGAGCTGCCCAAACTGCCAGGGTAAGCTGGCACTTGGAGGTTCAGCTCCAGGAAAGGAATAATATCCTTTGAGAGTGTTGTTCCATGAGTGTCCACAGAATCTGAGGGAAAGCAGAGCAGGATTGTGGGGAAACCTTTGGAGAAGGGTGGGAATGACCCACCCTGGAGCCGGGAGGGTCCCGGCGCCAGCGAGCACAGTGAGGCACAGAAACCAACCCCCTGAGCTGGTGTGGGGTCGTTTTCCCAGGTGTCCAAGGAGGAAGGCTCTGCCCTGGCCCGGGAGTTCAACTGCCCCTTCTTTGAGACGTCGGCGGCGTTCCGGTACTACATCGACGACGTGTTCCACGCCCTGGTGAGGGAGATCCGCCGCAAGGAGAGGGAGGCCCTCATGGCCATGGAGAAGAGGTCCAAGCCCAAGAGCAGCGTGTGGAAGAGGCTCAAGTCGCCCTTCCGCAGGAAGAAGGACTCGGTCACCTGAGCCGGGGGGGGGAAAAGGAAAATTCCTCTGGGAAGAAGCGAAGGAGAGCCCGGCGGGCGGGCCCAGGGCGGCTCAGGGACATCCCCTGAGGGGACTCCGGCAGGGAGCGAGTGACTCTGCCCGTTGTTTCTGTTTAGGATGAGATTCCCTTCCTTCTGGATCCTGGACCCCGGACACAGCGACGGTTTTCCTCCTGTCTGTTGCCATTTTTCCCTCGCCGGTTCCCGGCGTCGCTTGGGAGCGTTCCCGGGTCAAACTGGGAGTGCTGGGAGTGCTGGGAGCTGGGCTGTGCCAGACGTGGCTGGAGCTGCCCCCAAACCGGCTGAATTCCCTGTTTTCCTGGTCGTTTTGCACGAGCTGCTCTCCAGAACAACAACAACAACAGCCCAGAGCTCGAGGGGTGTTTGCAGCGTGGAGGTCGCTGAGCAGAGCTGGGCTGGGCTGGGCTGGGCTGGGCTGGGCTGGGCTGGGCTTCTCAGCTCCTCACTGAGCAGATTTGGGGGTTTTTCCCGGCAAAATTAACATGGAATCCTCGTGCAAGTGTTACCTGAGTGCTCAGCTCACCGGCAGGGTGGTGGGTGGGACCCAAACGGGTCGGAGTCACGGAATCAACCGGGTTGGAAAAGGGCTCTGAGATCCTGGAGTCCATCCTGGGACCCAACCCCACCACATCCCATCCCTTGAAACACCCCCGGGGCTCCAGCAGCTCCCTGGGCAGCCCATTCCAGGGTGGAATTCCCGTGGCCCGTCCCCCTTTGTCCGGCTGTGGCAGCAGTGCAGGAACGGGGAGATTCCCCGGCTGGGATCGCGTTGGAGGCGCTGCCCCCTGCGGAAAGCGCAGCCTGGAGCTCCCCGCCCTGTCCCAAACCCCCGGATCCCGGGAGGAGCCGCGTTCCAGCGGGGCTGGGGCGGGGCCGCAGCTTCTCCCGCCTCCTCCGAGGAAATGCCGGGAACGGGATGGGGAGGGAGGAGAGACCCGAGTGTGCCCGAGGAGGAGCAAACCCGCGGCTTCCAGCGGCACTTCCAGGGAAAGGGGGATCCGGGGGGTCGGGGCTGAGCTCGCTCTGCTCCAGCCCCTGCTCTTGTCAGGCCTCGTCACACCCTGTCTCCTTTCTCCCTTTCTTTTTCTTTCTTTCTTTTTCTTTCTTTCTTTCTTCTTCTTTCTTTCCTTCCTTCCTTCCTTCTTTTGTTTCTTTTCTTTCTTTCTTTCTCTCTTTCCCTCTTTCTTTCTTTCTTTCTTTCTCTTTCTCTCTTTCTTTTTCTTTCTTTCTCTTTCTTTCTTTCCTTCTTTTATTCTTTCCTTCTTTCTTTCTTTCCATCTTTCCTTCCTTCTTTCTTTCCATCTTTCCTTCCTTCTTTCTTTCTTTTCTTTCTTTTCTTTCTTTCTTTCTTTCTCTCTTTCCTTCTCTCTTTCCTTCTCTCTTTCCTTCTCTTTCCTTCTCTCTTTCCTTCTCTC